AAAAGGAATCTGACCAGTGTCACTTTTTTGGTGAAAAGATGATGTTACACCAAACACATTCACTATATGAAGTGTTATTTCCTCTTCACATAAATGTATTGGTGAGCTATAGGTGAAAGTATATGTTGGGGTGGTTTCCAGGGGTCCTGGAACCTAACCTCATTTCCCCCCGTCTCTGTAGCTATTCATGGTATCGATACTCGTGACATTCTCCTTGAACATAACCTCCCTAATAGCAAGGTAAAGGTGTATACAGTATTGTATTTAAACCAGTAAATTGTATGTATGCAAAAGTAGTCATTTCCAAGGAACATTTTGGCAAAACAGAGCATATTAGGGAAAAGGTTAAGTAACCTTGGAAGAGGCAAAAGAAATGTAGATAATGTGCTTATATTAGGAAGCATGAGAAAAATTTGAGAGCTTGGAACTACTTTTGTTATTCACAGATTTAGAAAAAGAAAATGGTTAGTGTTGATATGAAAGGGACAAGGAAGGCAGACCATTAAAAATTTAAGATATAATTGGGAAAGTAAGAATGACATTCAAAGTTTCTGTAAGTGAGAAAAGCAATTTTAAGAGTAGGTCAAGAAAAGGGATACTGGTTTCCCAGTGAAAGTGAGTCTGCATCAAGGGTCTGTACCGTTGCCATGGATGTTCAATATATTCAAGGACAAATGATATGAGGTGAAAGCAAGAGGAATGGAAAGAGGAGCATATTTGGTCATAAGGAGGATGCAATGGGAGGAGTCTACTGTTCTTTACAGATGATACTGGCACAGTACAGCTTTTGACACAGTGAATCATCATCATCATCCGTTACTTCAGGATCTTTGGTCGTTTGGTGTCAGTGAGAATGGACTCTCACTGCTCGAGTCTTATCTGTCAGAGCAATCTCAATGTGTGATGGTTGGTGGAACCATTTCAGACCCAGTCCCTTTGCAGTTTTGAGTCCCACAGGGATCAGTTTTGAGACCACTTCTGTTTACAGTCTATGCATCTCTGCTGGATGCTCATGGTGTTGCCTACCATTTCTATGCAGATGATACACAGCTTTATTTGAAATTAATAAATTTCGAGGATACAGTACTGCTGAATGACGACAAAACCAAAATTATCGTCATCTAAGGAAATAGGAAGGGAGACAGCATAGATGGTTTTTGGGAAGCACAACTCAAGTTCTGTCGATTCTGTTTGTAATTTTGGAGTGTACCGTACTTCAACTCAAAACTGAATTTTAAAGACCACATATAAATTCACTTATTTTGTCTCAGGTTGATTTACTGTAACTCTTTATGGGTCTGCCTACCGAATTATCTACTGAAGAAAGTTCAGTGTTGAACAGAGTTGCCAGGCTAATTTTGCTCTTCCACCGAGGACTCCCACTACCCCATTCTTGATAAAATTACATTGGTTTCCAATTAAAGCTAGAGAAGAGTTCAAACTCTGTCTAATGACTAAGTTAGAAGAACTGGTGCTTTTTAAAAAGAACAGATCAGCGACCATTATTATAATTGAGAATGGAAGTGTGTGTAGTCTTCAAGAAGAACTTTATTACATATACGGTAGTTAGCAATTTTAAACAAGAGGGAAGAGATAAAAGTACAGAATGCAAACAGATAATAGATGTTAGCTTAAACAAAGAGAGGACAGAGAAAATGGGCATGTTCTGACACTCAGAAAAGAAGATAGAGTAGAGGAAGAAAAGAAAGTACTGTAATTGGTGCACTAACAAAGTAAGGAGAGGTAGACCGTGGTAAAGAATGCAGAGTGGAGATGCATGGAGGAATTATTGAGCCAATAAAGTGAACCGCAGCCTCAAATAGAGATAAACAGATTGAAGCCGAAGAAAGAAAAATAAGGCGCTTGAGAACAATGTCATGTGAATAGCATGTAAAGAACATGAAATACAAATCTCAAAACAGAAGTATATAAGAGAGCAAATATCATGGGTTTGTGATAGTAGTATGGATATCCTCAGAGAATGAAAAATGGAAAGTTAGTACGGTAGTAACACTGTAAAATTCTGGAGGTGTATGGTAGGAGGGGAAAAGGGAAAACCTAAAAGATGGAAGGGTTAGATGAATTTCAGGAAGTACTGAAAATGAGAGGGATGAACATTCAGGATGCAGCAGAATGTTTGAATGATATAAAAGCATAGTCTAGTGTTGAGTGGTTCATGGAGTTGCCGCAGGAGAGTGATTATACAGTATAGCAATGCTCTTATATCAAGCCACTCTGTACTATGGCAGGAAAAGTCTTACAAAAGGGGAAAATATCTGTCAGATCTGAATAACACTTGTGCCTTTTACATTCATCACCTGCTCACATACTGTAGTTTAGGTCTCCCACCCCCAACTATGACTTCCTCAATCACAGTTTCTAATTCTCATGGCACATTAATCTAATTCTTGCAGTTTCTCAGTGAAGGTGAGTTTATGGGTCCTAAATGTAAGTGGGACTAATACATCAATTATCCATAAAACATAAGTAGATACAGTACTAGAGATGCCTGGACAAAATACCTTCAGCGAGGTTAGGGACAGGGAGGAGTCGAGCGCATCTCCTTTGTCACGGTACCAAACACTTTGCTGTGTAGGGAATGTGAAGCTTGTAAGAATACAATGATGTCAATTCTTATAAGTTTGTAATTAATATTTTCATCACATTTTATTCGATAACAATACTCACAGTACCACCATAAATGTAGACACCTACAAAATGTACTTTACAGCTAGAGAGGACAAAACACTGATTGTTTACTACTTGCAATGAACACTGGTACTCATTTTGATGGAGGGTTTTTATTTATTGATAGGTTCTTATAATGCATTTATCTAGGGTATTTTACACTGATAACATCACTTTCACGTGGCTATAAAGAGGTCACATTGCTTTTAGGGCATTACTATGTCCAATTACATGTACAGTAGGCCTTCGAGGGTAAAGTTTGGATAGTCCAACGACATATCCACTATTCCACCTAGTTATGATGCGCTCCCTAATTGTGGTTTTCTCAATTATGGTCTTGTAGAGGAATATATCCCCTGTGATTAGGGAAGGCAACCTGTACTGCCACTTCTTGCCACAATGGCATATTAAAGGTCAAGGCAATTAAAAAAGCATGAAACAAGATAGTGTTCTTTGAGCAGGGAACACTGCTCTGCTTAATCGCTCTACCAAGGACACCCTTTCCATTGATAATTAATAAAAAATTTCATCTCGGACACATACCAGTAAGTACAGGTGTACTTCCTAAATTAACAAAATCTGCATCAGAGACTGGTAAAGCAAAGTTTAAAAAAAATGGAAGGGGGAGAGGGGGGGGGGTTCATGTGTGTAACATATGCTGATAAGTGAATGAAAAAGGGTCAGGTTGGAAAGCCAGTTAATATGATGATGTATGCATATCCGGCACATACGTGTGTACAAATTTAAAAATACATTTATACAATAAAACATTTAAATACAGAATAGTATTACCATTTTTCATTCATCAAATTTTGTATCCATGGGTCACTGTTTCAAAGATGGAGGCAGAGAGGAAACATTACTGACATAAGTTACAAAATGGGATATGACTCATTACATAGATAAATAATCTTAACACCCACGGCCTGAGCTTAAAGAGCTGACATGCATGGCATTTCTAGTGAATTATTTAATATTTATATATTGTGGTAATTAGCCAGTTACTTTCAAAATAATCCGTCAATCATGCTTTTGTGGGCTAAGCTGATTCCTGAATCTTACTGAAGCCAATTTATGGGTCTATCTCTACCCTGAAGCTCAATCTGTGAGTGACAAAATTAGCTGGGTAATGAACTGATTAATCAAACTGTCATTACTTGCAGCCCACATGATGTCACATTCTCAGGGGCTCGGTTATCAAGTATGTTCAAAAGAAAGTTGTTATTTATTTGAAAACATTCACTAGTCCATGGGGATGAAAGAAACAACAACAAATTCCAATATTAGGAAATCCCCATAAAGGAATAACACAATACCTGCATCAGCCTATGAACTAGCAAAAGTATATTGGGTACGGTATGCGTTCTCAGCGCATTCTGCATAGCTACAGGTATCCATAAAATATTGCTGTTACAAGATACTGTTGATACTGTACCTGCCATGAGCAGCCCATGAGATAATAAATGCATTGTTATACAATAATTTAGGAAACATCTTTACATACCACTACAGTACAGTATACTAAGTTTATATTTAACTTCATCATGCAGTGTTTTCAATGGTAATCAGTATACCTTAGTTCAAAACAAACTGATGACTATATTGAACCAACAGTTGCAATAAATGCTGAGCAACTAAACTATACAGTAGATATAGTACCACACACTACTGTAGCAATGTAAAGTTTGATGTCTGCTTGTAAACTTCAACAAGAGTAATGTATAAATACCAAGTACAGTACTATACAGCGATTCTGATCATGCCACATCCAACAATATACAGTGTATCATGCAATACACTTACTCTTATGTACAGTATAGTACGTATCTACACCATATAAATGCGTGTTACCGTATAATTCTTATGCAATGCATTTCAATCAAATACAATAGTAAAGTAAAACCTCTATTTACTTTTACTTGAAGACAGCTCCAAAATTTAATTAAACTAATAATAGAAGCACAATGATTATTACACTCAATTTAAAAATGAAACACCAAAAACCTCAAGCAAAATGCTGCATCTCTACACATTCACAAGAACACTGACTCCGTTTTCTTTGAATTCTATAAAACCATGAAAAAAAATCAATATTACAGTATTTCAAATGATTAGAATTATTACACCAAGCTCATATGATATTCCAGATAAACAGCACCAACTCTTCTACATGAATCACATCCAACCAAAGAGGTTATCCCTGGTTAGGCCTTCAGAAACAAAGAAATCGTAAAAAAGAATGAAAATTCTAACAGATATACCGGTAATAATCTCCAAACTACAAACACAAATAAAAGTGGTATCATTCTTACCTGACACTGAGATCCATTGCAGAACAGTTGAAAGGGCACTACACTATAAAAGTTCTCATTCCTGGTGACTCCCAGAAAACTTTTCTAAATCAATATATTTCAAATCATTGTTCTTTTCATCACTGATCAGGGAAACTCACTTTCTATTTCCATAGCATCAACTATTCACTTTTCCTAAACACAGTCTGTCAACTGTGTAAAATAATAATAATATGCTAGATATTTGTACAGTGGAAGGTGGAATCTGATTTTCAATCCAAGAAACACATGACCTTCAAAGCCAATCAACTTGTGGCAAACATTGTACAATATCCAGCTAATTACAACCAGTAGCTTGGGTATGTTCTAAGTTCATATGAATGACACGTTATGTGAAACATTGTTCTTCAGCAACCACAGAACACGCCTTACTTTATTATACGTACATAACTTTCATACACAAGAGTACATACTGTAAACTTCAGTGCCTGCATCAATATCCCATTCAATATACAGTTTATTAGTATGGAAAGATTTCCATAAACATAAAATTCATTACCTTCCTGAGAGAGCATAACGTTTCTCCCGTGTGATCAAACATGAATGAAATTACATATACAAAAATTTTTCTTACTGACCCCCAAATAAGGTGATATTTCCACAATTTGATATATTTCCCTATGTTGGTGAAAGGTTTAGAAATAATAAGCAATGAAGAGTGGGGAGAGTCACCAATGGGAAGGGAGACAGAATGAATGGAAACATTAAAGGAGCAAGAGTGAGCGCACAGAATGTTAAGATGAAGAAAGGAGATAGAAAGACATACAGCTAACTACACTAACTAACAACCCCATTTATATGTAGGTAAAGGTAAAACCGTTTCAGTGGAGTATGGTAGGTCTGCTGACTACAGATGGCTTATGCTATCAGTAATAAAACATTAACAATAACTTCTATTATAGTGATGAAGCTGGTGATGACAGTGTGAGAAAGAGATATACTGTATCTGTAGTAGTTTTAGTGGCGACAAATATAAATACAGTAATAATATGGTAAGACATGAACCTATTAAAATTCCATTAATGAAACATTGACTCAGGAATAATTACTACACACGGCAAACAATGCAAATTAACTCCACAATAATATATAATAATATGCTTATTAGTAATCAATAGAAAAAACAATACTCTTCCACCCACCCCAGCTAGACAAAACCATTCCTCCAGAGTCATGTGCTTAAAATTCCTTGGCAAGGAATTTAACAAATAGAAGTAGAACGGTCCAAATTATTTACTCGATAAAGAGACATTCGACAGCACTACATTACTTAATATATGCGTAATCAGGTTATAAATTGACCAACCTTTAAAGACAACTGATAGCCTATGGTAAAAGTGAAGAACTGGTTTGTTCGGGGACTCTTTTAGAAATGAATTGATCCAAAATCTAATCAAACAGAAAATAAAGCAGATTGTTAAGCACAGAGGACTCATTTGAGCTATCAGTGTATCAACAAATTTTATAACATCTTTTTGGTGGAAATACAGTACAGTGCATTAATAAAAACATACCTGTACCTAATTTTAAAGTTATTATCAAATCATTTACCGTGCTCTACTTTGTTCACAAATATAGTTATTTTACTGAATAGCTAAAGAAGATATAAATTAATTATATACTGTACAGTAAAGCATGGGAAAATTATAAATTCATATGGTATAAGTGAACGATTCATCATTTTTGTAATTAGACTGGATAATGATGTAGCATTCTACTTATACTGTATACTGTACTGGTTTTTTTTCTTCAGCTTATTAACTGAAGATGAAAAAACATTACAATAGTTTATGCATTTATCCATTTTCTGTTAAATACGATTTTACTGTACTTGGTATCTGATAAAAGTGTATATATTCAAAGTTACCAAATTACTCTTTAACACTGTATAAAAAAAACTTAGTGGTTCAAAATTTTGTTTCATCAGACTTGACAAACTGTACCATTAACATGTGCAAACTAAACTTCATACAAAACCAGCTTGATATTTAGAGTTTTCTCCTAAAAATTTTGCTCAAAAGACATGCCATCCAGAAACAACAACAACTCATGCTGCAGATGAGAGAAACCCCAGGAGCAATTGTCCGCGCTCCCACCGAGAGGAGTATTGATCCAGTCAGCTAGCCAATAAAAGTTTCCGGTACTGTTTTTTCATCTGCTGTATCTCAAACTACTGCATTCCATTTACTTGACTTACCAAATGAGTAAAGTAGTGCCTCCCAATCTACAAAACTGAAACTAATTAGGAAATAATTTATTTAAGGGTCTCCATCAACCATTCAGCACAAGTAAGATACCATAAGATCAATGGAAGGCTTCCCGACGGTGGGGACGGAATCTTTCAACTCTCAATATTATTTCCTAGAACCTGTAAACCTTCCTGTCATGCTGAAATTCTTTAAAAATGCAGCCAATACTTTAAGTGAGAACAGCATGAAATGTAATAGTGGGTACAACTAAATCCCCCAAGTAGCTCCACAACTTTAGACTAACAGTTTGTTCTCAAGCCAAGCAAATTGTCAACAGCACGACTTCAATTAATCTGCATATATAAACCCCTTGAAAAGGATACGGAAGTACTTTTAAGCAATTCCTTCCAAGACATGTAGAGGGCAAATAATCTTTAAAAAATTAACCGAACAAAATTAATGCCAGTTCTACAATGGACTGCAGTGCAATTAATAAGAGAGCAACATTTTTGCATACCTATTATGACTCATTAATTCAAGCTTTGATCAGAAATTTTGCTTTATTCTGTATTTCTCAAAGGGACTGTAATACTTTCTAGATTTTTAAGTTACTTAAAAAATTAACTTCAAAACCATCACTCCTATGGTCTTCAAGATATTGAGGCATATCATTTTGCAATTAATACAAAAATATTTCTAAAGTACAGTACATACTGTGTAAGTATGAAGTACTAGCCTCACTCTGATAGTCTACCAAACATGAATTTCATTACAAGTATGAATTATAAAGGCTTTACTATCTGACACCTGAAAAAATTTTCTGGTGATAAAGAATTAATAATCAGTTTCAGTCAATTAGAAATATTTAAGACAGCCACCACTTTACTACCATCTACTGTAATGTACTCATGTGTGCATTTTAAAGTAAGATAACAAATTTATTTAAATTAGATTATCATTTTGTTTCTCACATAATATATTCATGCAACCTTAGCTACAAACTTAAAAGACAGTTACAATAATATTCTGTAGTGGTTCAGTAACCTGTGACAAATAGGAACAAGAATCTAAACCTTTATCTGAAGGTAAGCATTTATCGTTCAAACCTAATCATTGTTAGGTATTGTTAAGTGTTTTTTTAATTGAGTTAGAACGATAAAGGCTTACCTTTAAAACTAACTTTGCATTCTTATTCCTCATTGAGTCGTTGGCTAAGAAGTCGCTGCCATAACTTTAATAAGAATGCCCATTTGATGAAAAAAGTTGTACTGGATATCTGTCAAATAAATGGATCAGTATCAGAAGTTATCAATACGAATATAAGTATTCACAGAAACCAACATTTTGCAAAAATTACTCATACCATGAAATATTTACTAATCATAAAAATTTGGTAATATATTTTAGCTTCGCTCCTCAACTTGTAAATAACCTTCATCAGCAGGTATCATTCAATACAATATTCAATGTAACAGCACAAACCCCAGTAAAATGCTATGACCAGGATGTAAATATATGACAAACCACAAACACTTTTGTAAAGTTATTACTTGACAACAGATGAAAACATATTCAAAACATTCACATGCTGTTTGACAACACTGAAAACATTCACTCAACAATGAAGAGTACTTCACACGGGGCACCATATTTCACTCAACAGCTGTTTCATCTGAATGACTAGAAAAGGCATTATAATACATCAAATTCAACTCGAAGTGTAGGTTTGTAAAGTACAATAATATGGAATTCCATAATGCACATGTTTGTTTTGGGAAACAAAGGTTACACATGCATAACAAAACTAAGAAATGTTCACCGCCAGTCACTTCAAAAATATTGTCTTTTCGACTATTCAATTCCTTGAGTAATCATAACACACTCACAAAGCTATACAGCATGCCAAATCCCTTGGCAAAGCCAAGACCCGTACACAACACACCGAATCCCTAGTTCACACAACGCAAACTTTCTCCACACACTAAAACAAAAAAAAACAAAAAAAACCTAAGCTGTACACGGCAACACTGTGTGCTCCAGATTTCTTTTCACGACTTCCTTTCTTATTTCAGGTCACCACTATAACACTTATCACCATTCGGTCACTGAATATATACTTGGCGGCGATAATAATAAAATAACTTCCATTATCGTCACTTTCCTTAATGAGAACCAAGTTGATAACGCTTCGGGAAAAAATACAAAAAAATAAACAAACAAATCACTGGCACTATAAACCCCTACAAGTATTGACCACCATCAGTTCATCATCCGACGTGGTTAAATATGTAAGGGTGTGGAGAGCATTACAGAAGCACAGGATAGCTTGGTGACAAAGCGGGTGTGTAAAAAGGGCGAGCGTCTTCCCCGGCATGTAGCTTCACCCGCGCGAGGTTGACTGACCAGAGCATCTCCCCCTTACCCCCCACCACTCACAGACACCTATTACCTATTCCTGGCTACCACGTTTTTCCTCACTACTCGCATTTACTTATCCCATCTCTCTATTTATTTAATGAATCCATAATATTCGAAGGTTGTAATGTGATGAAAAATAATAGATATAAATCAATAAGTCATTATATAAATGTCAAAAGAGGAAGCGGAAATATAGTGACCTCCCCGTGAGCAACACTCGGCCCCTCACCCCCGCCCCTCCTGCAAGCGTCACCCAAAATCACTTTTCAAGACAAACTCAGACTCCTCTCTCACCACTTCCTTCATTTCTTCACTTATTTCCGGCTCTAAAACACTTATCATTATTCACTATAACACTTTAGAACATCTACTTACGTGTTATTAGCTCAATATTTTCTTTTATTTCCACTTTAAGATCTTTGCCCCTCAAGTACACACAACAAACTCATTAACAGTATCATGACAGACTTCGTAATGGCGGAAAGACTCCCAGCGTTATCACATATATCTCTTCATATTCACTTCTCTACGCGTTCTATATATCCGTTATATTCTTAATAATCACAGTTATATTTTTCACATTAAAATTATTTGTTTATTTAAGTAAAAAAAGTTATTATTATGCACTTCCGGACCATTAAAAAATCTCTGGAACATCCATCAGCTGGCGTCCCATCAGGCCTTGCGTCCTTTGTCGGCCGGTAAACTCTTTCTAGACACCACCTCACTTTCCGTCGTTTTTCTCGTCTTCCGTCCACTTTCGTTATCTATTTTACTCACTACAGCAATATTCGACTCACAAGCTTTGCTACGACACCCCACATGATAGGGTTCACTTGAGATGGTGACACAGTGTGGGGGTCAATCGTTCAAGGACTGAATTTGTGCCAACAACCATATCGATTCTATTTCACAACAAACAGAAACGTAAACTGTTCCTTGGTAGGGTCACGGGAGATATTTCCACTTCACGCGCCACACACGACTCTAAAACTTCCACCACAACCTCCACCACACCTTCCACTGCACAAAATCCAACGGAGTAACACCTCACGCCAGCCAAGCAGCGTACATGTGGCAAAAATTAGGAGATAATCCGGAGCGCGCCCACGACCAACATGGCGCCTTGTCTCCGGTTAATGGCTACGGGGCCGCCCCGCTGGACGCACGGACTCCCGCGCACACCCGCCCCCACCATTCACACCCATTACATTCCCATTACTTACAATATATTTTTTGTATTTATCATATTTGTCCTTCCCTTGTTTTCGTATCATTCACTTCGGCATGTCATTTTCAAGCATGTTTATTTGTATCCCATTAACATTGACACATTGTCGCGGTGTCATATGCCTCTTAAGTGGTCAATTAATATTTGTCTTAACCCAATATTGAAAATGAATGAAAGTTCAATACCCTCTAGTTCCCCTGTGCTAACCCCAAGTTGGTCACAGCGTGGAACCCAACCATCGCTCCACGGAACATGTATTGCCTCACCGATGTGCTCCTATCATGTTGTCGGCCACGTACCGCGCTCAAGTGACATCACCTACTTATAAAACTAACATCATAAATTACCCTCACATCCACGTATATAAAAATGAACAGGTGTTAGTCAAATTAAAACTTCACAATTTTAACCTACCGTTTAGTAAGATTAAACTATGATATCGCTTCTCCATGAATAAAACAAAAAAATATCGAATGGCGGCGATGGACAAAACAAAATGCAGTGTTGAGAAATCCCGTATGTAGGTAGGGTAGGGAGCGGGCGGTAGTGGGGGTGTACATGTGTACGTGTGTTGCGGTGTGAGTGTCGGTGTGTGCGGGGGTCGCGTGAAGCATCTGCAGCGTGCCGCCCGCCTACACCACACACTCACGACCACCGCTACACCACTCCCGATACCATACTACCTCTTAACCATCACCTACCATACTTTAAACTTTATTATTAATCATTTAATTTATTTGTATTATTTTTTTTAATATTATCAATTCCTACTATATCGTCAATTAGGAGACAACAGGTACTTACACAATCATGACAAGGACTGGCAGTGTAGTCAGCAGTTTTCACCCGGAGTACAGCCGTCACCGCCACCATCACCACGCCACCCCCCTCCCCTACCCCACACCCTCCCAACCCACCAACCAGTACAAGAGGCCTCGGGGGTCAAGTCACTGCTATTACCCTACCACACAACACTAAACCCTTACACGAGATAAAAAAAAAAAAAAAACGCTGCCAAGTAAGTATATCTTGAGTCGATGGCGTGGAAGAATATATTTAAGGAAGAATAAATAACTCCACCGTGATAATGGCAACACAATCTGAAGAGGAAGCTCCGCCATGATAACAAGTGCCTAACCTACCCGGTGGAAGGTTGTACTTTGTTTAAGTATCCTGACGTTGGACGGCCGATATTGACGGTGTGGCCGTCTCATGTGTCCCTACAAGACCAGCGCCATGAAGGGCCTGGATACACCCCATGTGATATTGGTAGAGGGGGGGGGGGGAGAAGGTTGGGGGCAAAGTACTGATATTATCGACCAGGTATGGCAATTGAAGCTCTGTTGACAACATGCAGTTGACGGAGGGAAGGCGAGGTTAACACCCAGCTGGCTGCTCCAATACCTCATCTCCCTGATGAGAGGAACGAAACAGCGGCGTTCACAATAGTAACTGTAACCGGGAAGCAAGTCGGTGGTCTTCCTTGCACCAGCTGAGAGCATCGTTGTATTGTTATCCCTTGATGCGTGAGGGACAATGATATCACATGCATGCGTGACGTCACCAGCACGCTTATCACAGTCACCAGAGGTAGCGACTGAAAGAAACAGTCGTGTTATTACAATGTCTTATCTCAGTTGATACAGAATGGTGATGGGCCGACACACACACATGGTTTTATTCACCAGGATTATTATGCATCGTACACACTACCAACTGCGATTATAACAATACTGTACTGTTGTTTGTCGTACAGATGAGACTAAAGGCATTAGACAATTAAAATTAGTACACAACATTCATTTTGACTGTGACATTTCTTATTCTTTATAATTGCTAAGATTTAGACACGAAAACAGGCAATGTATTTTTTAAAACACTAAAACATTGTTATTATAAGTACGGAAAAAATGCTGTCGTTTAGTGGCCGTAGTTACATTACACATCCGTTGTGTGGCGTTGTCGGTAATTACGTCAGTGACAAACCGGAGACGGTAATCCGCTCTCTCAGGGACTACCCATAACTCTACACACAACATCTCCAGGTTATCGTCGTTGTTGTACACCGACTCCTATAAACAGTAAATATAACTCACTGTGAGAATTCATTATCCCTAAACAGCGGCAAAATAACCAAAGAACCTTTTCATTCACATGAAATATCATCCTCTTAGTTTATTGATGTGTACAAAAGTTTACATAAATATCATACGATTATTACTTGCATTCAAAAGTACCCTTAATGGTTTGCAATGGCCATACCGATGTGGTTAAGTTCTAGGAATGAGAGAGCGACTCACGGTGGGGGGGGGGGGATGACTAACCGAGAACAAGAGTCTGGATATGACGAGATCCTCAGTATAATGTTTCAGTATTAAAATTTCAGAGATTTTCATTATATCCATACATAAATTGAACGTTTCCTGGGATCTTTCGTTTATCAATTATAATTAACTTTTCAGGAATCCTCATATTACTGTATAGGCTCCTCCAAGACCTTTCGAATACCAAAAATGGAAAGTTCCGAATATAGCGTAAAATTATATACTTAGTACCTGATATGACGTGAACAGGACATAGCACAAGTAGTAGTAGTAGTAGTAGTAGGTTAGTAACAGAGACAACGGCAGAACGAATAGTCAATAATGTAACAGAGACCAACGGAGAACAATGTGAGCAACAGGCCAACAGTAAAGTAAGGAAAGTAACGGTAGCCATGTGAGCAACGGTGGATACGCAAGTACGCACCACCATTATCAATATACGCAACATCTTTATCATTATACGCAACACCATTATCATTATACATTACGCAACACCAGCAAATTACGCAACTCTATTATTATACGCATCTCTATCACCAAGACTATAACAGTGTCAGGTATACATGCGCATCAGTGTCAGCAACATACGCAACACTGACAGCAACCTCACCGCCAGTGTCAGCAACATACGCAATACTGACAGCTAACTAACCGCCAGTGTCAGCAACATACAGTACACGACGATGGTCAAAACCCAGACAACTTTGTTTATGCGTCAGTCAGCCTGCACACACACACACACACACACACGGATATCTAAAAAAAAGCCTATTAGTGTTTTACCGTAATCTCACCCAAGTCAGTAATTTTTGCCATGTTATACGAATTAAGGGATCACATGAAGATTAGCCACCCCAACTTATTTCACGTGACGAGTAAATACCTTAACGTCACCTGGGTTTTTAAGGTTACGTTAGGTTATGTCAATTTATATTAGATTAAGTTAGGTTAGGTTAGGTTAGGTTAGCATTAGAATGGTAAATTTCAACGTGAAACAAGCTGGGGGGGGGGGGGGGGGAGCTAATCTTCAGGTGACCCAAATCTTTGTAAAGATTAACGTTACAGTTTTCAAGTTTTGTTCCGGAAATGAAACTAGGACGGACATACAGTACAACTTCCTGACAGACAGACCAATCCTGTCCCTATGACGCCAACAAGGTCACTGAACCGCAGAATCATACCTCCATACACTTGATAGTCATGGTTAGGTTATAGGTTAGGTTAGGTTAGGTTAGGTTAGGTTAGGTTATAGGATAGGTTAGGTTAGGTTAGGTTATAGGTTAGGTTAGGTTAGGATAGGATAGGATAGGTTAGGTTAGGTTATAGGTTAGGTTAGGATACGCATTAGTTTATTGTAACTTAATATACACATTAAAGCAGCTTTGAGGCAACGGCTTGATAAGTATTAGTAAGTTTATCAGAAAAGTTAACATGACGTTTCTATGTATAGTAATGTATATAAATAGTGTAGGTATACATAAACCATACATAGCCAGCACGGGTATACATACACTATACACAGAGAGAACAATTATACATACATTAACATATAACCAGAACAGGTATACAAACAATATACAAAAACAATTGTAAATACTCCAGCCTCATCGATCACTTCGTAAACTCAGAAAGACGAAATACTTTACTGAGTTATGTAAGTAATGACCCTCGTATAGTGTACTACTGTAAGAGAGGATATAGAATTATTTTAGGATATAGAATTATTTAAGAGTGAATATAAACTTAGGCTCGCGTAGTCACTAAAGCTCTTAGGTTAATTTAGTCTCGTAGCTGGAGATACAAGAGTATGTATTTAAATCGTCTGATTTTAAGTTATAACTCAAATATAACTTCCCAATGTCATCAATGTTAACTGTGATTATACCTGTACTAGATTCGTTAACTTAACACCACTTAAACCATCTTCGTCAAAGGGTTAAATCACCGTCAAAGGGTTAAACCACCATCGCCCCGTTAACCCATCATTCTCAAAGGGTTAAAGGGAGCAATTAACTTACATAATCTTTATGAATATACATCTATAAATTTAACTCTATTGGTGATATGTATTAACTATAAGTAATTCTATCGAGAGAACACACTACCTATTTTGACTGACACAGCTACAGGTAGTCCACGCCTCTGATGGTCAGTGGACTACACTCAACACTTACTCAAGTCGCAAAAATTCCTAAGTTATTTTTTACTCCAGATGAGAATAAAGAGAACGAACCTAACCTAACCTAAACTAACCTAACCTAATCTAACCTAGCCTAACCTAACCTATCTACCTAATTTACTGTCCCGTAATGATGTCGTGGTGTGGTAGTGTTAGGTAGTAGTGTGGTAGTGTTAGGTAGTGGTGTGGTTGTGTCAGGGTGTGGCGTGGTAGTGTCAGCTGAGCCACACCATATAACATAACCCTGGTATATAACACGGGTG